AGGGAGAACGCCCTGAGTCTGGTGAGAGGCTACTCAGTAGGTGCTGTACCTGAAGACAAAAGCAGAAGGGACTGATCGCTGCCCCGGCCACCCTGGCAGCCCACTGCAAGTCCCTGCTCAGCCTCTCCCTCTCCACACTCTGGGCATAAGCCAGGCAAACTCCTCTCCTGCCTGAGCTAGGCACCAGGCCCAGGTCAGGACTGTGTCCCCAAAACAACCACCACACAACTCTTTCTAGCTGGGATAGAACTGTGGGGAGGGACCTCACAGTTCTCTGTGTGCATCACCCACATGTGGTTCAGGTGGGGACCCAAAAATTGGTGACTTGTCACTCACGGCGAGAGCAGCGAAGGCCAGGAGCTGGACTGAGGTGTAGTCATCCCCATTCAGCACGTACTGAGCACAGGGGAGTGTCCCCGTCCTTCAGGAAATGGAAGGATGGCAGAGGGAGAGACAGCAGGAGAACAAGCCTTCAGCCTCCAGCCCTGCCCCTCTTAAGGCCAGTTTTCCAGTACCCTGGCCCCAAGTTACGAAGAGGCTGGTCAGATTCTGTTGTGGAAAACACCATTATGATTTCTTAGGAAGTTAAACGTGAGAGCTGGGGACAGGGCTTGCTATGCAAGCTATCCCAAGAACTCATGTAAAACTGAGTGTGGTGGCACACGTCTATAAGTACAATGGAGGCAGGGGAGTACCTGGAAGCTGGGAGGTCAGTGAGCCTGGCATGCACAGCACCAATGAGACTGTCCCAAACAAGATGGGAGGTGAGGGTGGACACCTAAGGTTGTCCTCTGGTGCCTATATGCATGTCTGCACCCATGCGCGTGCGTACACACACACACACACACACACACACACACACACACACACAGACTTTTTAAAATACTAATCATGAATTAGCACATGACCTAATAATTCCGTGTGGAGAAGCATACCCCAAAGAATTCAAGGCAGAGACCTTTGAAGTTGTACCCATAATCACTGTCCACTAGTGAATGAAATGACAGATGAAATACAGTACATCCATACAGTGGAACACCATTCAGCCTTGACAGGGAAAGGCGTTTGAACACATGGCACATGGATGAACTCCATGCTTTCGACCCGAAATAAGCCAGGCACAAAGGGATAAACACTGTGGAGGGAGCTCCCGTAGTCAGGTTCATAGAAAAGAAGGTAAAATGGGGACTGTGGGGAGCCAGATGTGGCAGAAAGGGACCTTTGCAATACAAGGACGTTGCTGGACTGAGCACTCACAAATGGGCCGTGGTAAATCCCAAACTGACGTTATCACAGCAACAATTAACTGAGGGTGGAGCACGGGCCATGCCTGTCATCCCTGCACTCCCGTGTGGGCAAGAGGATAAGGAGTTCAAGGCTAGTCTCAGCTATGTAGCAAGTTTGAGGCCAGGCTGGGCGACATGAGACAGTCTTAGAAAGCCAAAAATAAAAATTAAATGAAACCTGATAGATTGGAAGTCTACCAATCTCTGAAACACAACGACTCCTCAGGACTTCCAGTTGGCCCTCTGGCCTTGTTTAGCAAAGGGGTCCCCCACCCCAACCTAGACTCACCCAAATTACCAGCTACCATTCAGCTTACAAGGGCCCCAGCACCCCCAGACCTCGTCAGATTCCGGGTGTCCCACCACCCAAAATCTACACCCACGATCCTCTTGAGGTCCACTTAGTCTCCCTGGCAACCCAGCATCCTACGCTTCTCCAAACAGGTACCAGCCCTGAGCAGGGCCCAGCCTGCCCTGACTCAGGCCTCTCTGCCTAGCTCCTGGGGCCTTGTTTATTTTCTCAGCGTGTCCATGGCCTGGTTTCCGCCTTGCCCACAGGAGGGAATGCTTTCAAGAAACTCGAGGTTATTAATGTGGTTTCTTTTGTTGTATGCCATCGCAAAGGCAGAGAACGAGGGTTTATTTTCCTAACGTGCTTGGCATAGCTCAGCATTTGATTCAGGAGGAACTCGAGACCCTGGTTTGTTCTGAGTCACTAGCAAAGCCGCAGCCTTCGAAGCCAGTTCTGGGGGGAGCAAGGGCTTGCAACATCATTGGCAGACATGGGCTGGATCTACCGGTGGCTTTAAAAAAAAAAAAAAAAAAAAAAACAAACAAACAAAAGGATTTTAGTTTGTTGTTTGGTTGGTTCATTTGGCTTGGTTTTTTAATTGGCAGGATCAAACCAGGGGTTCTCACTCATTTGTTGCCCAATAACCTGTATTTTTCTATGGGGGCATCTCCACTCTGCAGAAGCCACAGGAAGATTGGCTTTCAAGAGTATCTGTGCCCTGGAGGTGCCAAGGGCCCAGGATTGGAGAGTTAACAGCACAGCCTATGGCCCACATGTGCTGCCCTGGGGGTGACTCTGGTACCCCAATGTCTGTCTGCTTTCCTTCCTCCCTTCCTTCCTCCCTCCCTTCCTGGGATGGAACCAGGGCCTTGTGCACACTGGGCCTCTAAGCTCCTCCCCCAACTGGTACCCTGTTTCCACCGGTTCCAGCAATTCGGGCTGGGCTCAGGATGTGGAAAGGACAGGTCCCTTCTTCCTGATCTTTGGAGGTCTTGGGACTGTGAGACCAATCCATAGCTGTGGGAGGGGACAATTAACCAAAGGGACAAACAGGAAGTCACCCCAGCCTCCTTCCTCTGCCTTCTGTCTCTAGATTCCAACCCAGAGGGAAGCTTGGCATGGTACCACTGGACCAGTGCATTCTCAGGAGCAAAAGCTGGATGTAGTTTCCAAGGCAAGGAGCAGGGGCTGAGTGATTTCGTGAGCCTGGCCTTGGGTCTCCCACCTGACTCCACATGCAGCACGTCCTGTGTCCTCAGAAACCCCAGTGTTCAAGAAACTGCACCCCAAGAAAAGCCTGGCAATTCTCACAGATTTCCAGGATGCCAGGTGCCAGATCCTGAGGCTACAGGGGACACCCACTACCCACCCAGCTGCCAATGGCACCATCTGGGCACTCACACCCTAGCTGACACTTGCAATCTGGGGTTCTCCAGGGGGAAAACATCCATTTGGGGACCTTGTAGGCCAGTGGTTCTCAACCTTCCTAACACTGTGACCCTTTAATACAGTTTCTCATGGTGTGGTGACCCCCCCACACCATAAAATTATTTTTGTTGCTACTTCATAACTGTAATTTTGCTACTGTGATGAATTGTAATGTAAATACTTTTTGGAGATTAGCCTCTGTTGTAGGCTACATGACAAAGAAATCAGACCTTGTACTGTCTGTCCCCTACCAGGGCCGCACCTCCGCCGTCCTCCATCAGAACGCCAGTGTTCTCTCTTTCATCTTCCTCTGCCAATCCCTTCCTTCTTCCCTATCACCTTGATTTTATTTTCCCCTCTGTCCCGCCCCACAGCCTCAGTCACCAAGGTGAAACCAGAGAACACTGAGCACATCACACCTCACTTTACCTCTGGCCGGAACTGGCCCCTTTCCCTCCATCTTGCCATCAAGGATCTAAAGCTGACTCCCTGGGCTGTCAGCTCCCTCATCATCCATCACCCAACACCCGAGGGAGGAGGGCAGCCAGGCCCCTGCAAATGGTGGGAAGTGGACACCAGCATGGAGGGCAGGGGCCTCCCCTGGGGTGAGGAGCATGCATGACTGCCTGCCCCGGGGATGCAGCAGTGGATGTTATCAGATGATGTTCTGTGAATGTCCCAGGACACACATACTCACAGCCTTGGTTTCAGACAGTGCCACTGTCCTCTCTGGCTTCCGAGGACGCCCTCTTGTCTGAAGGCAGAGGCTCCCAGCCTGCCTGAGTACCCCTCCGACCCTGAGACTAGTACAGGAAGTGGAGTGTTTAGGGTGGGTGGGAAGGTGGCGGGATACCAACTCCTCTTTTGTCACTGTTTGGGGATCTAGTCAGGTGTCTCAGCACATCCAGCAGAACAGGAAAGTCTCAGAGCTAAGGGACAGCTAGGTGGTAGCCTCAGACACCCCTCCCCAGCACCTAGGTGATTTTGACTGGCCATCCCCCTGCCCTGTTCCTCACCAAAACTGTCCACACTGGGACTTTTGTGTCATTAGAATCCTTCACCCCTAGTCTCCCCTCCGCCAAGCCTATCCCTACATCTTTATTTCCCACCAACTTCTCCCTCTTTTTTGAAAAGCTGAGCTGAGGACTCTACAATCCTGTGTGATTTTGTGTGTGTGTTGGGGGGGGGGGGGCTATTTGGGTGGACTGTTTGTTTTTAAAGCCCTTTCCAGATGACCTTTAATCTTTGCTGAGAGCTCCTCCACCCCGAACCAAAGGGTGTGGTTGTGCAGGCATGCCCACCCCACAAACCCTAAGACCTGTCTTAGCTAGAAGGGCCTGAGCCGAGTTTGACTTAGTGGCTTGGCCCTCCCACAGCCTCAGTTTCCCCAACATCAGCTTCTGAGGGTAGGTGGGTATGGGATGCAAGGGCGGCCAGCTTTCCTAAAGTCACAAGACAGTAAGCGGATCTGGTCTCCTCCGAAGGAGAGGCTTTGGAGACAACAGCAGCTCACCACTAAGCAGTACGTTCTGGAACTATGGCTCCCGCTGTGGACAAGCCAGTTCTCCAGTGCCCACAGCAGGGATCCCGCAGCTAGTGGGTTCCTGTAGCCCGGGTCCACAGCCACAGTCTTGCAAACTGTGTGTCCCACACCCCAGTTCCACAACCGGGGTTCCACAACCGGGGTTCTGCAGCTCAGGGATCCTGTAAGCCACGGGTCTCTGTAGCTCGGGTCTCGCAGCTGGGGGTGAGGGGGGTGGGCGGGTGTCCCAGCATCCGCGGGTCCCACAGCCATAGTCTCATAAGCCAAATATCCCGCAGCCAACGAGTCCCACAGCCTGAGTCTCTCCGCCCTGCCGGGAGTCCCGCAGCCCAGGGATCCCGCAGCCTGTGAGCCCCACCGCCCGAGGTTCTCAGGGAAGGGATCCCAGCAAGCCCTAGTCCCGCAGCCCAAGTCCCGCCGCCCCGGCCCGGTTCCCACGCCGCACACTCACCGTCCTGCGGCGCCGCCTCGCTGCCGCTGCTGCCCCCGGACGGCTCCCGCGCCGCTCCCTCCCGCGCCTCGGGCCCCGCCACCGGCCCCGCAGCCCTGCGCCCGGCCGCCGCCACCTCCTCCAGGTCCAGAAGGTGGCTCACCGAGAAGTTCTTGCGGGCCTGGGCGCAGTCGCCGGGTGCGGGCGGGGGCCCCGGGCCGGGCGCCGGCGGGTCCAGGGCGAAGGCGGCGGCCGTGCTGTCCATGCCCCGGCCGCGCCTCTGCCGGCCGCCGCCGCCTCCCGCTGCTCGCCGCGCCGGCGCTCAAGTCCGTCGGTTGGGGACGCGAACTTTCTGCCCTCCCCTACGGGCGGGCCGCTCCTAGCCAGCGGCCCGGGCCACACACCCCTTCTCGGGGCGGACCTCGCCCCCGGCTCCCCTCCCCGCGTCCTGCGCCGTCCGGCGGGAGGCGGGGCCAGGACGGGGTCCTCGGACTCCCAGACGTAGTTTAGGATGGCCAAGTCCCGTGGGGGGGTGTCTCTTTAAATTCCCCCAACCAGGGTCCCCAGAGGTGACGGGTGGGAAATCCGTCTCTTTACGGTGTATATTGGGTGGATGTGGGGGGCACTCTAAGAAAGTTGACGGATCCCCTCCCCTCCAGTCCACTTCTCTTTAGACGGGGTCTCATATATTCCAGATTAGCTTTAAATTTGCTACGTAGCCAAGACCGGCCTTGAACGCTGCCCAGCTTCTGCTTCATTGTCCCCACCCTAATGGAAAGAATCCGAGGTTTTTGAGGACCACCCTGTTCCCTCCACGCTGAAAGGAAGGTTCTGGGATGGAGGCCAATGCCATTTCTCTCATCTCCCAGTGGGTGACACTTTGCGCCTGTCCCCAGTCCCCAGCATTCCCCTTAAGGGAAACAGAGCGGGGAGGGGTGAGCTTCCCTCCTGGGGGGCACAAGGGAGAGACTCATCAAGGGCGACAGATGAGAGGTGGGGTGGGGGAGGGGGCAGACGAGGTCTATCTTTCCACTTTTTCAAGAAAGCCCGGGAAAATGGCACTGGGGAGAAGATTGGAGACTCTCGGATCACCAGATACTTCAAGTCCTACCCCAAGACTGTCCTGCCCTTCTGTACCCTTGCCACCACCAGCGAGGCATGAAATCGTAGCATCAAAGAGAACCCACCAGGAGATCTTGGGGGGAGCAGCAGAAAACCCTCCCGAGACCCACCCTGAAGGACGCCAGGAGACTCTGACCTACCCACGTGGCACCCTGGGTCTCTGCCCAGGGATTCAGGGAGAATGTTGCAAAGGATCTGAGGGATGATCTAGCTTCCATTCCTTTGCATGACAGATGGGGAAGGGGAAGCAGGAAGGCTCGGGCTCCTTCTAGAGCTTGGGAGAAGCACTGAAATTATTTGTCCAAGCTGTTGTGGGACCCAGAGCCTGGATGTGCCGTGTTAGGGTCTGAAGGGACGGACGCTGTGGCCACAGTGGCATCCTTCACCCGTTCATGTAGTCATCATTCTGAGCATGTGGAGCCGTGATGTCCTACATCAGTGCACTACAGTGATGCTCTGGCTCCAGCGTCCTGTGTTCAGATGGAGGGAGGCAGCGCTTGGACTCTGCGCCAGCAGGTTAGCCCCTAGTTTCCTCCAGTGCCAAATAAGCTATGGAGAGGAGTGAAGAGTGGAAACGAGAACCGGGGAGATGCTCCGTTGGTAAAAATTCAAAACCCAGCCGGGCGGTGGTGGCGCACGCCTTTAATCCCAGCACTCGGGAGGCAGAGCCAGGCGGATCTCTGTGAGTTCGAGGCCAGCCTGGACTACCAAGTGAGTTCCAGGAAAGGCGCAAAGCTACACAGAGAAACCCTGTCTCGAAAAACCAAAAAAAAAAAAAAAAAAAAAAAAAATTCAAAACCCACGTCAGGGCCAGATTACAGCAGCGCCTGCCATCCCAGGACCTACAGCAGGACCGGGCACAGAGCTGGGGAAAGATGGCTCCGTAGTTAAGAGTGCTTCCTGGGTTGGGGATTTAGCTCAGAGGTAGAGTGCTTGCCTAGCAAGTGCAAAGCCCTGGGTTCGGTCCTCAGCTCCGGAAAAAAATAAAAATAAAAAAAAAATGTGGAAAGTAGAGATGGGAGAATCCCAGAACCTCTTGGGCCAGCTAGCCTGGTGTATACTGCTGAAGAGAGGCCGAGCCTCAAATAAAGCCGAAGGCAAAAATCCACCATCTTTGTCTTCTGATCTGTACCTGGTGGCATACACATGCCTGCATTCACACACACACACACACACACACACACACACACACACACACACACACGATATACACATTTGCAGATCAATTTTAACACTAAGTTGAGGGAGCTGGAGAGACGGCTCAGCCATTAAGAGCACTCACTGCAGCACTCAGTGGCCGGGTGTTGGTTGGTGGCGCACACCTTTAATCCCAGCACTGGGAGGCAGAGGCAGGCGAATCTCTGTGAGTCCGAGGCCAGCCTGGGCTACAGAGTGAGTTCCAGGAAAGGCGCAAAACTACACAGAGAAACCCTGTCTCGAAAAACCAAAAAAAAAAAAAAAAAAAAAAAAAAAAGAGCACTCACTGATCTTGCAGAGGACCTGGGTTCAGTTCCCAGCACCCACATGGCAGCTCACAACTGTCTGTAACTCCAGTTCCAGGTGCTCGATGCCTCTTCTCACTCCAGATGTACATACATACACTCAGGCACACAGACGAACATGTAAAACTAGTTTTAAAAATAAATAAATTAAAAAATAAGCTAATACATGTGTGACACCTGGCACCTAATAAGCAATAAGGGTTCACGGTATTTATGTTAATAGTTTAAGACAGGGCCTCTCTGTGGAACCCTGGCTGTCCTGGAATTCACTATGTAGACTGAGCTGGACTTGGACTCTCAGAGATTACTGCCTTGCCTCCTGAATGTAAGGACCAAAGGCGCACGCCACCACACTCAGCTAAGGTTGCTTTGCTTTGTTTTGTGCCGTTCTGGGGTGGAGCGCAGGGGTTTGCAAGCACTGGGCAAGTGGCACACCTCTGAGCTGATTCACTAGCCCAGCAATGACTATTTCTGGAACATCTGCTCTGAGCAGTCAGCCAAGCTGGTGCTTTTATCTTGGACCCTGGAGCTTGGAGGCATGGATTCGGCTGAGCTCAGCACTGTCGCCTAGTTGTGTGGCCTAAAGGAAGTCATTCCTCCATCTCCAGCAAAATAGAGGGACTGGCAGAAGGGATCCAAATGTCACTCCTCATGCCAATCTCTGGATGAGGGCTGGGTGGAAGGAGGCAGCGGGGGACAAGAGGCATGAGCTGCCGAGGCAGAGCTCAGCCCCCCAGGGGAAATCAGTCAAGGGAACACCCACAGCCCAAGGAAGGCAGGACAGAGGGATTGGCTAGGAGAACTTCCATAGTGATTCGAACAAATTCTAGATGCTAATCCAGAGCCAGTGTGAATAGATGACACAGTCTCATTTCAACCAACCCACTGGCTAGGGCCTCCCCTGGACTCCACAGGGCTGGCAGCTCTCTTGGAAGCTGGGATCTGGGTCTCACCTTGAGGGACAACGCTGACTTGCTCCCATCTAAAGCTCACATGCCCAGGAAAAGAAGTACTGTCTTCTCTTTATATAGAAGTGATACTGAACTGCTGAGATTTCATTTTATTCATTTGATCATTTTTATATCAATGTATTTATTCTGCATGTGCACACACACACGTGGAAGTCAGAGGACTTTGACGAGTCAGTTCTCTCCTTCCACTGTGGGTCCAGGAATGGAATTCAGGTACAGACTGGGCAGTAAGTGCCTTATTTGCTGGGCAATCTCACTAGTCCCATTACTGAGATCTCAAAAAGCTTAAGTTAAATGAAGAGAATTAAAATCACTGTTATGTCATTCCCAAAGAGGCCTGACACATAACAGTCAACTCCTAATACTTTAAATCTTTATTGTGTATTTTTAGATTTACTTACTCTATGTATATGGATGTTTTGATTGCATTTATGTATGAATGTGCCTGGTGCCACTGGAGGCAAGGACAGAGTATTGAGTCTGCTGAACTGGAGGTATGGATGGTTGTAAGCTGCCATGTGGGTACTGGGAATGGAAATCAGGGCTGAGCCATCTATCCAGACCCTACTTGAAATATTTTTTTAAGATTTATTTATTTATTATGTATCCAGAAAAGGTGCCAGATCTCATTACAGATGTTTGTGAGCCACCATGTGGGTGCTAGAAATTGAACTCAGGACCTCTGGAAGAGCAGTCAGTGCTCTTAACCTCTGAGCCATCTCTCCAGCCCTACTTGAAATATTTTTAAAGTTGACTTAGACAATGGTGATGTGTGTCTTTAATCTCAGTACTTGGGACACTGAGGCAGGAGGATTGTGAGTGTGAGGCCAGCCTGAGCTTCATAGCAAGTTCCAATCCAACTTGGAATATACACTGAGACTCTGTCTCACATAAGAAATTAGTTTAATAAAAAGGGATTGGAGAAATCATCCTGTTTGTTTAATATTGAGTTGAAGGCCTAGAAAAAGCAATAAGACAAGAAAAATTGTCCTGGTTACTGGTCTATTGCTGTGAAGAGACACCATGACCAAAGAAACTCTAATTTGAAAGCATTTGATTGGAGGCTTGCTTACAGCTTCAGAGGCTGAGTCCATTCTGATCACAGTAGGGAGCATGGCGGCAGGCTGGCAGCCACTGGAGCAGTAGCATCCTGATCTGCAGGCGGAGAGGGAGGCTCTGGACTTGGCATGAACCCTCAAAGCCCACCCCCAGTGACATACTTCCTCCAACAAGGCCATACCTCCTAATCCTTTTAATCCTTTCAAATACTGCCACTCCCTGGTTAATAAGCATTCAAATATATGAACCTATGGGAGCCATTCTTTTTTTTTTTTTTTTTCCAGAGCTGAGGACCGAACCAGGGCCTTGTGCTTGCTAGGCAAGCGTTCTACCACTGAGCTAAATCCCCAACCCCTTATGGGGGCCATTCTTATTCAAATCACCACAAAAAGAAATGACCAAAAAAGAATTTAAAGTCTATCCTTCTAGTTGGTATCTATACATCTAGCTACTTAGATGGACATTGTCATAAAAATTGATCTATTTCACAAACTGCTCTCTATCTCTTGAAATGGTCTTGCCTACTACTTTGTTTTTTTCTGAGACAGGTTCTCACTGTGTAACCTGGAATGGCCTTGAACTCTAGATCTTCTCACCCTCCTGAGAGACAG